CTCATAAATCCAGATTATTTTGTGTGTGTGTGTGCGTTTCCCATGAATGCTTGAGGGAAAAGATTCTCATGAATGTTGAATGAGTATGTCCATCACCCTCTAAACTACAAGCTCCTCAATGTTGAAAAAAAAAAATGCAGAAATCACCTTTGTGACATACCACTCTCACGTACAATAAATTGGACAAGCTCTATCTTAGAATAACCTATCGCCTTTACCATTTCGGCACTGGGAACACATGCAGGACACAATCTGATTCGCTTTTGTTATGCAGGGAATCACGCCGGGGCATCTGGGCTTGTTTGCCTTTGGTGAGAAATGGAGATTGGTTTGGAGGTCTGAATGAATTGCTGGCGTCTGTGTTTATTGCTTTCATTAAGATTTAATGAGTCAAGTGTCCTTCCCAATGACTTAGATTTTGTCATTTGACCGCAAGAAACGTCGGGCAAGTCTGTGAACTATTGGCATCCATACCATGTACATATGTATGTTAATGTACGTGAGACGGCTAGCCTCTCGCTGTCATTTCTTATTTAATATTAGCCATAAAACAGATTCTGGCATTTATCCAGGTAATGTTATCCCTAAAAGATGCTTATGTTTAAGCAGTGAATCGGGCGAATGGGTTTGTTGAATGGACATGTGGTTTGGCCTGTACATCTCAGAAAGAATTTCACACCAAGCTGTTGGATGTGTGTGAACACAGGCCTGACCCGTCACTCTCTTACACTATTTCCGCTGCATTCGGCCAGATTCTCCGACCACAACACCCTGACAGCACGCAGGCCATTTAACAGCAGCTTCCATATATCATACAGCCTTTTAACGCTACAGAATAACAGACAATGTTCCTATTCAGAGTTTGAAGGGTTGGGCATGTACATGACATTAAAAGCAATGTGACACACACACAAAAAGTTTAAAAAAAAAACATCTGGTGATGATTCATGTCAAAACAATGCCACATACTCATCACTTTAATGACCTAATCTACATGATAGTAAATTGCTCAATAAATGCTCATGAGTGTTTTATTTAGAAAATAAATCAGCTCATATCATATTGATAAAGTAATCTCCAATATTGTATTTGTGCACTGCATCAAATGTCAGAAAATATGCATAACTCCAGCCAATGAAATGTGGTGAATTAGAGCGCTAGATTAATTCGATTTTTTTTACTGTGTGGAATGAATCTTAAATGTACATTTGATCAGGTTATTGACTTAAACAGACAGAGGCGTGTCTATTCATGTTTATCATATTACGCAGGTGAAATTATTTTATATTTGAATATATCATTGTATTTATTAACTTAGAATAAGTAGTTTAAATGTAATATAAAAGCACAATCCACATTTTATGATATGTAAAAAAAAAAAAAGGAAAAAAAATATTGTTAATTTTTGGGGGAGGCAGGCACAATTCATTTCACTCAGCGGGCTACATAACGTAGAAATATTCATGGAAGTATACTTTAATATATTATTAGTCTTATTATTTTTGTGATGACTGTGGTTGTTTATATGCGTTATAACTATGTTTTCATAATCTGTTTTGGGGGGGACATTTTGACTAGTTTACATGTAATCGCATTGCGCAGCGTTTAAAATGCCTTAAAGAATATTACAAAGACTAATCTAATCCTATTCGGCATATTGCAGTGAAACTGCCTTTCTAACTTTAGGGCGTAGATTAGGCGTCTGTGTTGAGCATTAATATAGTGTGGCACAGCAGCAGGATTAAGAGTATTTGGTTTTAAATCGGGTAGTGTGAACGGTCCCTCCCCAGCAATGGGTTAAAGCGGCATTACAGCTTGTAAGACGGGTGTCCCGCAGATCTCCCTGGAGACCAGCTCCACTTGGGTGTTCCAGCACTGAGTATAGAGCAAAACACGGGCTAAAACCATTAGATGACCCGATGTACTCATTTAAATGCCACCATATACACGTTCATCCAATTAACTATTTCATTTAATCTATTTTAATTTTTGTTTCCATTCCAAAATTAGCTAGCACTAACAATATCAGGAGTTAATGTGTATTCAAATGAGGAAATATTTTCAAATAAAAAAAATAAAAAAAGTTTGATTTCAATTGATTTAAGTGTACAATAACTAACGATTTGTTAGCCATTAGGCCTGCATTATAAAGTATGTTTGTATGTGACGCACTTGAAAAGTTTAGGTGATTATGACCATTGCTCTCCTTGAGAAACTTCATACTCTTAATGAGAATTTTGAGGATCAGTTGTTTACATTCTGGCTTTCATTTGCAGTATGATATGCAAATTGGACGACTCCAATTAAACAGGGTTACCTAAATGAGAAGGGGAAAACACACCAGGGAAAAGCTGATCTCGCTGCTATAACAAGACATAAGCTATAGTTTGTTTTAATTATTTTTAATTTATAGCTTTTTAAAAATGCCCACGATGTTTGTAAAAAATAAAATGTATATAGGTATTAGCAATCGAAATATAGCTATTTTTAGATCTCACTTTTATATACCCTGAAAGCATAGCAGTTTTTTCATTACAGGCCTTCGTTAAATAATCTCTAATATAATTATTATTATTATTATTATTATCGTTGTTGTTAATAATTATGCTTATTTTGTTAGAATTGTGCAGAACCATAAGGGAGACAATTAGAGTAGCTACCATTCTTTTTTGTCTTTTTATTAAACCTGGGGTCAATAACCATTATATTAAGACTGTGTCTTAAGAACTAGTCTGACCAACTAGCAGTTAGTTAGAGGTAATCGGTCTTACTTTTCTGAATCAAATTAGTCCAATCTACGTGTATATGTAAATGACTTAAAAAAGTAATGAACAGTCTTAAAGTAATAAAAAATTGATGACTAATTTGTAATTAGCAGTTTCTGCAACCGGCCCCTCATCTGTCTGTAGATTGTCATGTTAACACTTATTCTGTCTTTTGTCAAGCATGAAGTGCACCTAGGGTGTTCCTAAATGTTATCCTCACGTTTATGTCTGCTGTCATTTGTGTCTCTGGAAATGTGTAAACGCGCCAGAAATTCGTCAGCAAAATTTGCGTCTTGGTTGGTGAAAATAATTAAATACGTCGAATTTTTCACTTTCGTTAAATGAGAAAAAGCGTAAAATCATTTATCCGCGCTGATCATTTCGCCGCATTGCCTGCGCGTTCATCTCGAGACTCGACGACAGCAAGTTTGCCGGAGGAAAAACATCATTGCTATGTACCTGAACTCCATTTGATGGGCATCAGTTATTGGCACGGCGAAACCAATGCATTTCTTCTCCAGTATCATTGGCATCAATCAGCTGGAATAGCCATCTGACAGTCGGCTGAAAGAGCCCCTTCACATCAGCACTTGAGTTGTGTCTGTTCAAGCGTCCAACACTATTGCCGTGAAATCGAAATTGCGCGCAGAAATCCCCATTACGCGAAACACAGCATGCATGGAAAAGCCTCAGCAGCAGCAGAAGCGAGCTGGATTTAATCATGAAAATGTTCGTACCTGTCCTGGAGTCTCTCCCGCTGCCTTCTGCACAGGGCTGGAAGCCTCACGGCATTTATTTGAGCTCAAACTCTGACACTGTTGACTTTAGCAACAAAGCAAAGATTTCACTGCCCCGCTAGTTTAAAAAAATGATTATTTTACCAAGATATCGATCAGTGCGCTATAAAAATTCAGCCTAGCATTATGTCTAAAACGAGGGGCACCGAAATTTAATTTCTGTGTAAATTTACCTAGAAATGACGTGCTCTTATTCAAAGTTTACACTCGTGTGATTTGATTGCTCATGTACACATCCTATATGTATTAATACCGCCTTTTTCATTGTTTACCAGTTTGTGTTTATTCGCAGATCATGGGGGTTTGAAATACAATGGCATGGACTGAGAACTAAAAACACAGAGGTAGCGAAACCAGGCCTTCTTTGACATTATTCAAGTTGAGGGATAATTCTGTCCGCGCGCACACTCGTGTGATGATCTGTTTCACACAGGTGACTTCTTGATCCGCAAGTTTACTATTAAATGGGGAAAGCCTGTAACACAGCTTCCTTATTTGTGCCTGTCTAATACAGGCCTATATGCCCCTCCACTCAATTATTTATTTTTCTGTTTTTAATTAATAGGGCGTATTTTTCCAGTGTTTGCATCAAATGGGTCTCACGTCTTTTTCATATGTTGGAAAGAAACGAGAGACTTCATAAACATGACAGAAGATGTTTCTCAGTTCAGAAGTTTTCAGAGTTTTATTTATATGCCTCATTTTGTTAAATGATGCTCATCTTATTTGTTGCAATTACCGCCATTAAACTATGAGAGATAGAGAGCTTCACACACATATATATATATTATTGTAACGTCTGAAGAACGACAGACAAGGGAACAAAGGAGGTTTCGTATGGCTTCGCAAATTATTTGCATATAAAATATACAATAGCTATAATAAACAGTACACATTGTTTACTACATAGTCAGTATATATAAAAATGTGTTGGCCATATTATATTTATATTATATGCAAATAATTTGCGAATCCATATGTGATTTTAAAATGGGTTTATGAGCACAACACTTGTCGTGATGGGGGAAAATATATTTCAAAGGCTAGTTGCCGCTCTTTTACGTAAAATGCAACACATCTTTCAAGAACTTGTAAGCATTTTAATGCTGAATATGATGAATTTTTCGAAATATATATAATTAAACGCATTTCAGCTTATTTCATTTATCAAAAAAAAAAATCATGGTCTATTTGTGTGTTTTTATTGTTGATATTAATTTAGGTCAGGGTTGAAATGCAAACAAATTCAAGAACATTTCAATCAAATTAATTCGATCTATATAATTTATCTGTGGCATGATTTGATATAAACGTGTAGCTTCACAAGTAACAAGGTTCGTATATGTGCAAATGCATTGATAATTCGTTGAGCAAAATGACACGTATTATTATTATTATTGTCGTTGTTGACAACACCACAAAAGAGAGAAAATCAGAATTGAGAAAAAATTCCAAATAACACTTTAATATAGATTCTTTTCTTGTCATCAACTACAAGAATACACATTTACAAGCCATAAATAAGTTTACACAAGTGATTGAAGAAGTTCAATCCGTCCGCAGTCCTTCGGTGTGATTTTGGTCCATTTTCAAAAGCCGCCTCGAAGAGTTCGTCACATTGTCAACATTTCTTTTACAAAATAATTACTAATGAACATCTAAAAGAACGGGAAACGTCAAAAATCAGAATACATATACACAACCATTTTACAAATGTACAAATTGTCACGAGGTCCGTGGGTGTTTAGGAAGAGTTCAGGATGGGCCTGGAGTACACACCTTGGTAATAGGATGTGTCCGGCGAATCCAGGCCCGCTTTGCTGGCCATGGAGCCCATGGATAACGCGCCGGCCATCGGAGAGCCGTAACCGTAATGCATCACTTGCTCATAAGTCTTTAGGTCCATTTTGTGATGCTGTTGCTCCGAGGACATGAGGTTGTTGATGGAGAAGGGGTGGTTGAAGGAATAGTGGTGTTCTGGCTTCAGGTGTCCTTCATGCGCCAGAACAGAGTGATGTTGCGCCAGGAGATGCTGCGCCTGGGAGGTCGGAGAGGCTGTGTGCTCCGGGCTCAGACCCTGACCCGACTTCATGTCAGACAGGGATCTTTTGTGCTCGTTGCTAGACGAGTTGGAATGAGGAGACTCGTTCCCGTTGCAGCTCTCGGAGCTGCTGTTCGATCCGCCCTCCGATGTTTTCCGACCCGGCTCCTTGCTAAGTTTCTTAACGTCGCACTTGAAGCGCTTTTGCCTTCTCAGATAGCAGCCGTTTTCGAACATGTTCCCGGAGTCGGGATGAAGGGTCCAGAACGAACCTTTGCCTGGCTTATCCGGGGAGCGTGGGACTTTCAGGAAACAGTCGTTGAAGGACAGCGAGTGGCGGATAGAGTTCTGCCAGCGCTGCTGGTTCTGTCGGTAAAAAGGGAAAAGGTCCATTATCCACTGGTAGATCTCGCTGAGGGTCAGCATCTTACTGGGGGATTGCTGGATGGCCATGGTTATTAGGGAAATGTACGAGTAGGGTGGCTTGGCGTGCGTGTAGCTCCTCCGGTAGGTCTTCGGGTCCCTCGATCTGTTTATGTTCGACTGGCCGTACATGGGGCTCATAGCGTTCATGTTGCTGTACGAGGTTAAGGCGTTCATGGAGGGTGCTTGCGCTGCCATTGGGCTCATGGTCGGGCTCAGGGCTGCACTCATGCCCGTCATACCCGCACCCATGCCGGCCATCGCTCCCGCACCGGGGGACATGCCTGTCATTGAAGGACTCATTCCCGTGTTGACATAGGACATGTTCATGGTGTTTGCTGCTGTCATGTTTGCAGTCGAACCCATTCCAGACATAGTCATGTAAGTGTTCATGGAGTTCATTCCCAGTCCAGTGTTCATGTTGCTGACCGAGGTGTAACACTGCGAAAGAAATCAGATAATGCGATTAATTATTGCAACTCCAAGTTGTATACGTTTAAAATTCATTTTGGCTTGCATGGCTAACTTAAAAATAACAAGGCTCCCTAAAGGTTCTTTAATCATAGCCAAATCAGAAATGTTTTGTATTAAATAGCTCGTTTAGTTGGGGTTTTAAAAACTATAAAACTGCTAGATATTTAGAACCATGCGTCAGGATAAAGTGAAAGTTTGTTTTCGGGAGGATTTTTTCACTTTTATTCATTTATTTATTTTGGTTATTTTTAGGTTTCCAACATATTGCCGCAAAACGCTGTTGTTGAGTCGATATTACCGCCGCTCAGAAATTAAAAACCAATAGTAGCCTAGATCTGTTCAAAAGTCAAACGCCCGCGGTTATTTTCGCTTCTGGACGCCCGATGTTGTCGAATAATAAAACCCATGTATTCGTCGGTATCCATAATTGGAAATGAAAAGTTTGCATTGCATGTCAAGCACAACTTTGTTAGGATAGTGCAGGGCGTCGAGATGATGGGGGAGGATTTGGAGGCGCCTCAAGTCAATATTTGATCTCAAAGTTAATATTATCTCAGGGCTAATATTGAGTTGTATAAAACCGGATCGGATTTCGACGAGGAGAAAAAAAAATACATATATATTTATTTAGGTGAGTTACCCACCTCGGGCTCTCCGTAGTAAGCGCTCCAGTCTGCTGCGTGTTCGTGTCCCTCCATTTTGACAGCACCGAGCATCCTGGAAAAAACTCCTTCTACTTTTCAAAACGCTTCCCCACACGAGAAATGCTGGTATTGTGTGTCCTTTGGCAGCCAAAGGTGGTACAACCACGGGATACACTCGTGTCGTCGTTGTGCTCTCCTCCTGTCAAGAGCTGGCGCATGTGTGTGTGTGTATGTGTGTGTGTGTGTGTTTCTGGTTGAAATGACGCCTGCTGCTGGCTCTTAGCGCTGTGATATAGCTCTGTGCGCCCGGGCGAGCCTCCAATCCCTACTGCTCCACTCGGCCCCTATTTGAATAATCTGCTCACACCTAGGCGTGAGACTTCTCCATTTGCCCCCCTATTGTACACCTGCGCAGCTTGAAAAGAGCAGCCCCATTTGAAAAGATTCATTATATCCTAATCTTATTGTATTCCAGCGGGAGAAAGGGGTTGAATAGAAGTTTGGACTACCGTGAGAGGAGTGGTTTGAAATCACATCCAGATAAAATTGGGGAGAACGCCAACAGCTCTGGGTTCAAGTCTTTATTCAGATGAATCATCATGCCTAAATGTCTTGTTTTTGTTTTGTTTTTCATAATTCACAAGCAGCGTTTATTATGCACAGCCAATGGTAATCGATGTTAAATGCATGACATATTTAAGCAAATCAATCTCACTTTGTTTTATTATTATTATTATTATTATTAATTTAGTTCTTTTTCTTTTAAAGCCCAAACATTTCCATTAAACAAAATGTTTAACTGTTCGTTAAATCTTTAAAAGGAGCCAAATTGAAAAAGGACAGCTGGCTGTATTTAAAAAATATAGCCTTTAATTCTGTAATAAGATTAAATATGAGAGAAACAAGGATAACAGTGATACAGGGATAGATCAAAACGCGTAAATGTTTTCGGCTGTTTTGAATTAATTTGTTTACCTGCGCTCTAGTTTATGTAACTAATAGCGGTACACAGTTTGCTGATGTAAGAGCAGGTCATCGGTGTTGATTCTGCAAAGCTCAGTGGCAAGATTTGATTGCCTTCATTAAACAAAGTATCCTAACATTTATTCACTTTGTTTGACTGTCCACGATAGCTGGTGGCGGCTTGGTGCACAAGCTGAAGACAACGAAAAACAAAATACTTTATACAACTTAACTGCTTAGATACTTTTTAAGCCTATATTTCATATCCTTCTTTTGGCCTTTGATGGTATGCGATTTGGTTTACAAAAAAAATATATGAGTGCGCCCTCTCTTGGTATACAAATTTATTTTTCCACAGAAATAGCCTACATGGATACGCTCAGTTGCTATCACATTAAAATAACGTTCATGATTATTTACTTTTTTATTACCTTAGTATTTATTATTGTTTAACAGATCACAGTTAGTGCCATTCAAATAGGCTAGTCACGAAATATATATTTTTTATAGCCTACAATCTACATTAATGCTCAAAGCAAGCGTGTAGCCTACATTAAATATAGGCCTACTGATTTTTTATGCATTACATAGGCTAATGAAAAATTGATTATATAAATGATCAAAACCATAAAAGTTACAGTTTGGTTTACATTTTTTATATATATATATTTACATTTTAGCTAATTTTGCAGACTGGGCATTCCTTAGGAAATTATTTTAATCAAACAATTTCTTTAAATAATCAGCGAGACATCAACTCTTATTCAATGTGACACGTGCCTCACCAGCATCGTAATTAGATCAGATATATGTGTATTTGCGTATAACAGGGATAACCATTTGCAAATATAATCACGGAGTTTATTTGGACCTGTGTGTAATGTGTAAACGGTGTAAGTTTGACGTGCTCACAGACACCGCTAAACGCGTGGAACATCGCCGAAGAAAAAACCTTCTGCAAAGTCGTCGCAGTTATTATTGTGGATTGTCATCTTATGATATTGGCATCTTAAAAGATGGTACTGTTATGAAGGCAAACCCTTCTTTTACAACGTTCGATGAAATATTGCGACAGTAACTCGTAGGCTACTCAATTAAAACGGGGTCATTACTGGAAATAGGCTTTATATTTAGTGAATATATGTACCTTGTTTGGAGAACTCGTTGAGTATTAAGAAACTGTATTCCTTCTGTTTAATGGCCTGTCATTGTGTTTAGTTGCCGACCGTGTTTAGCATGTTTACATGTTTACATCATTTTCAAGCATTTCTATACAGATGGCATTAAATTATTACAGGCTGAAAAGTTTGACATTGCTGCCATTTGTAGTCGTCTTAACACTTGTCCATTTTATTGATCATTTTCATAGGCCTATGTTCATTCTATGTTTCTTTCATTTATTTTATGATTTAAAATAAACTATAAAAACAGCCCTATCATTTCAGCAAGCTGCTGCATCTTCAAATAATGACATTGGCGTGTGTGTGTCCTGGTAAACCCCACATTATGGGGACAAAATGTCCCTACAAAGATGGCGATATCTGAAATCCTTGTCCTTGAGGGGACATTTTTGAGGGGTAGTGAAGGGGGACAGAATATACAGTTTGTAGTATAAAAATCATTATATCTGTGGAAAGTCCCCATAAAACATAAAAATACAAGTGTGTGTGTTGTTGCTAGATTTGCTATTACTCTTAATTGAGGTAATAAAATATACATACAAATAACATCATAACAGTAATTCCAATAACAGTGATGGCACTTTTTCATTATCAGTCTCTGGTAGAAACCATGGATCATCTCACAATTTGAGACAAATAGACAGACACGTTGTCTTAATACAAAGAATCCTCATATGACTGGATAAATACTACATATTCTCTGAACATCAAGTCCCTACAGCATTGTCCAGCTGTCCAAATCGAAATCACACAATTTACATGAATACGCATTTACATTTTTTTATCTAGTTTTGCCAAGCCAGACTAAACTAATTAACTAGGCTTACCTACTTTTGAGAAATGATGTACTACTTTTTAAATTACGTGACACAGTGTGCTCCTGGATTATTTTGAAGTTAATTATTAATAGACGAGGGACAGACTGTGAACGCATTCTGTGTAGAAGGTCACTATCTTGTATTTGGTGAAAATGCAAAAGGACTGTGTCTTTGAGTAAACACACCACGTTGCAGCATTGGTATAAACTTTGATCGCCTCTGAACTTAGGTTGGCATATGTCACGTTTTTCGAAACATTGAGCTCTAAAACAATAGATGGCAAAACTTTTTTGTTTTATTGAGGAGCACTGTCTTCCTCTATAGCTTCAGGATTTGCTCTGCTTCTCTGCTCGATCATTCATCATGCGGTTGTGTTGCAATGTACTGTCACTGTGGGTGGCGCCTTGGTGATCCTCCTGAATCTTATACATTAGGGCATGTATTCTCAGTAAATATTGCCATGGAATCTCCAAACACTGACCTCCATTCTCCTTTCTGTCACCAGGAATACATGTTTGAGATCGTAGAGAGGTCAGGATATTTTTTACATTTCTAGAACCTGTCTTAGATAGATAGATAGATAGATAGATAGATAGATAGATAGATAGATAGATAGATAGATAGATAGATAGATAGATAGATAGATAGATAGATAGATAGATAGATAGATAGATCAGTTGACTTAACTTAAAAAAATTGAGGAAACCCTTTGCCTTAAAATCATTAAGTAAATAAACTTCATGCTTAATCGAAAAAAATTAAGTAATGTGGCATTGTCAAGTTCACATAACTTAATTCGTTCAATTAAACATTACGTTTATCTACTTAATAATTTTAAGGCAATGGGTTTACTAAATCTTTTCAAGTAAGGGAACTGAACACTTTTTACAAATAGATAGATAGATAGATAGATTCAGTTAATTCCCGGCTGCTGTTTGCAGGAATGTGTTACTTGGAGCTCCTCTTTCAAAGCTTTTAAACCACAAAAGAGGTCTTTAAACAAAAGTGTGTTTGTTCTAATTTCTTCTTCCCTTTTTTTTTTTTTTTGGCATTTGCACTTTTACCCCTTTATTTATCTGCTGAAGTAAAAAAGGGCCAACAGGTTAAGCGTATGATTCATCTGTGTGAAACTGATAACTGGATCTCTTTCTTTCCAAATAAAAGATGCAAAAATGTCTGTGGTGACAGTAAACATTCCGGAGCGAGACAGGAGTTTGTTCTGGCTATTATCTGGCACAGCTGTGACAACCCCTGTTGGCTGCAGGTTTGCGGCCAACCAAAGCATGTTTACCTGGAAATGAATCTCTAAAGTATTGTGACGGGGAATGCACACAACGCTGGTTGGATGCAGAGGGGGGGAAATGCAGGCCCGCCATTGAAATGCCATTCAAAGCCAAAGGGGTGGTACGGAAGATATTGCACAGGGGCCTGGGGCGCAAACAGTGGCGTAAATGGGCTAAAGGACTTCCTCAAATACGCACATTTTCATATTGAGGAGCATTCGCAGAGGGCTGCCCCGTAGTGCACTTCTGTTTGGTCTGTAACCAAGGCCCAGTGCAATACACTTCTCTTGTAATGCAAAAAGACCACAGCACAATCATGCATACCTCAAACAAGGTGCCAATCCACGTCCTGCGAGGGTCTGAATGCACAAAATCAAACATCTCTTCATTTCAGCTAAATGGCAGAAGTTGAACGGGGTGACAGAGGGAACAAAACAAAGCCTATCGAAAGGCTTGAGATGGTAAATCTCTTAATTGATCAGATTAATGCATTATAATGCTTTGGCATGTCTGACAAACTATTACCCCGTCGAGGACAAAAAGGTTCGGATTAAATCTGTTATTTTAATCCTTCCATTTTAATGTATGCCACAGCAAAAATGTAATATCACATAACCCTCCATTGCTATTCATCAGTGAGGGAACTGCAAAGTCAACACACGTTTTAATTACAAGCCAAAAGCAATTAAACGTGAGGACAAGCGTCAGTATGCTAATTAAATGGCAGGCTC